ATAAGAAAAAGGTGATCGAAAGGGTGTATACTTGCACTGTGTGCGGCACCATGCATAAAGTTTATGACCTGTGCAGTAGTATACGCCTGCTAGTGGGGTAGTGCTCTGCAAGATAGGGAAAAGATAATGGGAAGGATGTACGCATGCACATGCATTCTGCGACACCATTCCATACGGCGAAAGGGACGCATGCATTCGTGATACCAATGAACACCCAAACTTTAGCCGCGATTACAAGATAACTATACACATCCGGCAATGTTTGTGACCCCTCAATCTAAAAAGGCATGCGGTGCGTCCCAAACGACTCTAGTGCGCAGTCCAGTTCGATCCGCAAGTAGCAGCAGCTTAGCCGCCGGTTATGGACGACGTGTCTAAGTTGACCAAGAAATAATCGTTTGTGTAGATGGGTAGGATGGTTAGGAGAGTGGTCGCACTCTTGGCCTACCACGAATTACACCATAGGTTAGATGACATGTGTGTTACATTGAATGCAAATCATTCTATTAAACGGTGGTACGTTTCCATCGATAGAGATGTGTCTAAGGTCAATCTGTCAAGCTTGAAGCTTCAGGCTATGATTTTCAGTAGGTGCATTGTCACTGTGTGCGGGTGGTAGTTTATGTCGACTGTCACGTTTGCCTACATATATACTCGATGTTTCTAAAAGGAGCTATTTCAAAGTCTGTATCCCATGGATTCTTTATCTAGCAATTAATTGGGTTGTGTTGCGTGATTAGACGAGGAGGGATTTTTAGCTGCTCCTGAATTAACATGGGCCATTGATTTTGTGTGATCCGGTGGTACTCTTACCTCTAGACCAGTAAGAGGTTATCACTGATCTTATAGGGTTAGTATGGACTTTTCCCTTTGTACAAATTAGGCAGCAAATAACAATGATGTACACAAAGAAGTAAATAATAATGCCATCATTGCAGGCTTGTAAACCATGAAATATAAGGGTATGTGAATTCAAAACAAATATTTGTTACACACATATGTGTCATCAAAACAAGGTGGTAAACAATATTACTTATATCGTTCTCTGTAAATTTCACAAAACCCCTACAAAGACAAACCATTAAAATACGAAAAAAAATATAATGGACACTACAAATATTTGTACTGTCTTGCTGAACTTTCGTGCATTACCACCGACAACAATCTTTATTGTAAAGATTTGAGGTGACATAAACTATTATTTTGCAAGTGAAATAGTGAACCACTACAAATAATATTCACAATGAGTCATGCAAAAGGGTGCATGTACAATTATTGGAGAGAACAACTTGTGGTAAAAGAAAATAAACCAAAAGAAATGTGGAAAAATCATTTGTAGATAAAAGATATGTCTGGTATGTATTAAAGTATTTTGCTATTTTTCTGCACATACCAAATATATAAGTAAGTCCGTTTAAGACGTTAATTATATATTTTTACTAATACTCACCATAGTTCTAATGTGATATAGTCAAGTTTGCCCATGATCATTGGACAGACGGGTCTTATCTTTTGGGGACGTATAAGTTGAAGCTTGTTAAAAGTTAGAACTGCTCTTAAACAACCGATAGGAGAATATTTCGTTTAATAAGCACACCGACAGGTCAGAGAATGTTCCCGCGTATGTAGGCTTAGGCAGCTTTATTGTCTCTGCTTATATTGTTTTTACTTAAAAAGAATTAATGTTCCTGTTTTGCTCTTCCTTCGGCCACCCCCTTTGTGCAAACCTCCTTCCCATTTCGATTTTTTCCCTCCCATATCTGGATTTTTTTTCCCACTGGTTTTCCCGATAACCGCCCCAACTACTCCATGTCTTCTTGACTTAACAAATCTTCTCTATATACTACTTAAGAAAAATGTAAGGTTTCCGCTTCACTTTTTAATACTTCCAACACCAACATATGTTCTTCCCCTCGCCCCGCTTTAAATTTTCCCTGCCATCTCTTGTTTTCTCCGAAAACTGCCTCAATGCTCCATGTCTTATCGAATAAATGATTACCAAATAAAATCACATTTTTTTGGTAAGCCAATAAATGATTACCAAATAAAATATATTTTTTGGTACACAATCACATTAACATAAAATGTTAGGTAAATCACAGTGATCGCGTAAAAAACCCACTAGCATTTTAGCGCACCAACGTATAAATGATGGGTGTGTTGTCGCAGGTTAACCTGCAAGGATACTTATGCCTTCGTTGCAACACTCATAAACTTATCTACTCCCTCCGTCCCATAATGTAAGACGTTTTTTTGAGTCTAGTATAGTGTCAAAAAATGTCTTACATTATGGAACTGAGGGAGTAGCTGTTATAAGAATGACGTGAACTTTCCATTCTGATGGTTTAATTTGATGGTGGTCAATTATTTGCAAGCTGGTTACCCAACAGACATTCTTGCTTTATGTAAAGAACTGTCTTTTTAACAAGCTTTTATTATAAAGCTGGGAAAAAAAGGTCTTTTTTTGTAGAAGCGCAAGCAAGGGAATGAGACGGTTGATTAGCTTCCACGTACTGAGTACCGTGGAATGGTTGAGACAGTTGAGTGTTGGGAGGTAGTATAAAAAGGCCAAACGCGCGCCCGTGAAGACATGGCATGTATTGGCGTCGCAAAGAGGCAAAATGAAGATGCGTCCATCCAACGGAGCACACCAGCGCTAAAGACCAAAGCGCGGCAGCAGCTAGCAGGCACGGGCGGCCGCAATCCTTTTGTTCCATCTGAACCGTGATCAAACAATCAATCAAGCATGGCCAGCTCCCAGCTCCCAGCTTAGCTTGCATGCATCTCGAGCTAGCTAGTCTCCCTCTTCCGGCCCCGGCCAGGAACGAAAGAATGTACAGACATCCAAAAGTAATTAATTCAAGTAGTGATTAATTAACCAGCAAGACATGTACATACAACCTCAATTAATTCTTGACTGAAAGGGGCAAGCATCAAAGCCATCTGCCCGCCCTCTCAATCTATCCAAAAGATTTCGAAACAACAGGCCACCTCGTCGATCTATATTACAGTTTGTCTAATTCACATCTAGATGTTTTTTAAGGATGTCATATCTAAGCTTCCATAAATAGATAATGCAACAATAAGAAACAAAAAAACTAGAACAATAAAAAATAAATCACAAACAGAGTAAAAATCAGCTTAGATGTGTCCTAAACATAACTATGTCACATCTAGATGTGTCATAGACAGACCCTGCATATTAAAGAAACCGCCACATAAGTACTCCCTCCGTCCAAAAAAACTTGTCCCAAACTTATTCGTCAAATGGATGTATCTAGCACTAACTTGGTGCCAGATACATCCATTTGAGGGCAAGTTTTTTCGGACGGAGTGAGTATTTGATCTGACCGTACGTACAGGAACAAGGATGGCAGATGGACAAGAAATCAATTTACAAAAACTAAATATTGCCATAGATAGAGCGGTGGATGGGCAATTGGAGTAGATGCCAACATTAAGTGATACATGCATGTAGTATAAGGCTAAGCACAGGACAGTAGTACACGATGGACGACGACACTACTCACCGGACGTCACAGGCGACGTCTCACCCTGCTACATAAGGCACTAATATCAACCAACTCCATCGGTCGCAGAGCGGCTATTGATTCATCAGCTAAGTACACCAACGCCACGCACGCATATGATGCATCATCACACACATATATATTTTTCGATGTATATATGGTAGATCAATTGATGGGTCGACTAAAAATGATTAGTCGAACTGGATGATGGAGCTGTATATCTCGTTAGGCTCCCAGTCGGCGGGGATGACCTGGTCGGCGACGAGCGTCTTGCCGGACTCGTTGGTGATGCGCAGCGAGAAGGGGCCCTGCATGGGGCGCCGCGTGTCCATCCGCCAGATGGACCCCCACGACTCCGTCATGGGCACCCACTCCCCCGTCGGCGCCATCCCGCCCTCGCCGGCGGCGGCGTCCGGCCGCGACTGCATGATGTCCACCTGGTCCACGTCGCCGTCGCCGTTCTCGTACTCCACCAGGATGGCCAGGTAGTAGGGGTTGGAGCCGTGCTGCACGTGGAACGTCACCGTGAGCCCCGGGTACTGGCACGGCACCCTGCATATCACATATATACACACAGCAAATGTCACTCGACCGTGTCAGTGTGTGTCGCGTTGGTCGCAAACATGCACGCAATATCATCATAAAAATCTCCTACAGTACGTGTAGTGTGGCATCCAAATGCAATGCCGTGCTGTTCAGTGTCACGGGATGGATGTACCGTGATGCTAGCGACCAAGAACTCCAAAAGCTACCTACATAAATGCCGACGCTGATGCCACGGCTTGTTGCTTCCTTCCTATCATTCGATCGAGGAGGACAATGACACGTATGTGGTGCTGGTTAGAATCTTTCCGGGCCCCATGCATGCATATATATCCTTGTCGTCGTTGTTAAAAAGTTGGTGGTCAGGACAAGGCAAAAAATGGGCGTGTTGGCGGTTACCTTGCCCCATCTTAGCTAGCCATGCCATGCCGGACACCTTCCGTTTGCTTTTGTACACAAGCGGCCGGGCCGGCGGTTGGGAAAGGAAAGGAAAGCAACGGACGGTGGACACGAGCGGCACCAGTGATGGATGGTCGGTAGTGGAGGTTAAGCCGTGGGTGGATGGAGATAAGATAAGATGATGGCGATTGGCAATGTACCTCCTGAACTGCATGTCGATGATGCCGGCGTGGCGGAGCTCGTCGTTGCGGCCGTCCTTGGCCATGGCGCCGAAGGCGGTGCCGCTGAGGTCGAAGTGGAAGCGGGACACCGGGTAGTAGTTCATGTCCGTGATGATCACCGTCTCCGGCACGCCGGAGCACGCCGGGTGGCCCGCCGACACGCACCGTATCTGCATTATTGCAACCCAAGATCATGAGTTTAATTCGGTGTAATTTTTACTAGTGGTAAATGGTTGTAATTCCAAAAAAAAAGGAGAATTTTGTTCCATCCAACCTGGTAGCACGAGCCGCAGCCCTTGCCGTCCTTGAAGAGCGGCTCGTTGCCGCAGGAGGTCATGGCGGAGAAGGGCGGCAGGTTGACGTTCTTGAACCCGCAGGCGCCGCCGTTGTCGTCGGGCCCGGCGCCCTTGGGCGCGCCGTACCACGTCGCCCTCGCGTCCAGCCAGCCGCCGGCGTCGACATTGGTGCTGTTGGAGCTGGAATTCGCCGCAGGAGGGGCCGCAGGAGGAGGCGGGATGGCGGCCGGGGGAGGAGGGGACCCGTAGCCGTAGGACGGCGCGCCGGCGGCCGGCGGGGAAGAAGGGGGCGGCGCCCCGTGGGCGTGCGGGGGCGCGTGGTGGGAATGGGGCTTCTTGCCGCCGCCGCCGCCGCTGCGCTTGGCGCAGCAGCCGTGGCCGTGCGCGGCGAGGATGCAGAGGAGCAGGGCCGCCGCGACGGCGACAGAGGAGGAGGAGGAGGAGGACGCCATGGGTGGCTAGCAAGTTACTCTAGTGTAGTAGCAGATGATTGAATTGGGTGCTCTGCTCTGCCGGTCGGCGCTGGGCGGTCGCCGTATTTATAGCCGGTAACGGAAGGAAGCGCCCGCAGAAATGGTTGGGTGGAATTGCATGCGGCAGTGCATGGTGGATGCATGAGCGTGACTGCCGGCCGATCGGGTTCACATGCGGGTGGAGCGACTCGGCACCGGGCCGGGGGCTCACGAGCGCGCCTCACTCGCTACGCCTCCTCTCCTACATTCCAACCCATCCATCGTTGGCTTCTGTACGCTTGTACTCCCTCCGTCCGGAAATACTTGTCAAAAAAATAGATGTATCTAGACATATTTTAATTCTAGAAACATCCATTTTTATCCATTTCGGCGACAAATATTTTCGGACGAAGGGAGTGGTACAGCGGGAGCAATACAAGACGTACACTATTTACTACTACTAACTATGGCACGTCCCGTCCCGTCCAACTACCACGTTTTTGCTGCATGCTCCACGTACGTGTGTTGTGTGTCACGTATCATACGCATGGGATGCCGCCACACCGACAGCCGGCCGTAGCGTCCATGCAGACGCACCGTTGTGTCGGTGAGCCCAGGCCTCACTTTGTTGTGCCTCTGTTTTCTCTTGGAAAAACTCTTATTCTTCGTTTTAGGGTGGCTCTTCCTCTGCCTCCCCCTCTCTGCTTTCTGGCTCCTCTTTTATTTTCTCCTTCCAAAACAGCGTGTAGGGAACCCATGGCCCCATGAGCGAGCCTAGTCCTCCACTAAACAATACTATTACCTAGCTACTATGAATTGTGCTTGGATCCACGGGCGGAGTCAGGATTGGAGCAAGTCCCGGGCCCAAAAAATGTTTTTGCCGCGAGGGAAAAACTTAATGTCCATAAGGCTATAGCTACCTCAAAAGATTCCCCGGATAAAATTTGCCTTAGTTGCAGGAAAAAATTATGATTTGAACTCGATGCTTAACGATACAAAAAAAAAACATGACAAAAGCTACAAAGAACAATATGTGATATCAAAGAGTATCAAATCAATCGTTTGCTTCATCAGTGCATCCCATAACCTCATCAACAATGGAAGAAGAGCCAACACCTTCAAGACATCAATAGAAAATTTTCATAAGAGAAAGCATAAACATCAAGTGAAACAATTATCACCGGTAAAAATCTAGATGCCTACCACTTCGACGAGGTAAAAGCCCTTTGTGAGACCTACATGATTGAAAGCGATATACAATTTCATCATCATCAATACTTGCAAATACATCTCTTCATCTTCTTTTTCTACAATATATGAATGAATCTGGCAATTACATCAGTGTGAGTTAAACAATAACCTTGATATATCACTGGATACATACACACAAACAAATTATTTCAATTAAGTTTTAGTTCAGAGTACTTTATACACTGATACACAGTAACAGAGAGGTCACATTGACATCGTAGAACATGGTACAAGTGAAAAGCATCAGGGGAAAATCTGAAAAGCATAAAACGAAAATACCAAGGCACGACAGTCAAGCAGCCAGCAGGGGTTGGCGCGCCACACGAGCGATTGGGCGAACGACGTACAGGAGGGCGGTGGCCGGGACGGCGGTGCCGTCGCGAGCACTCGAGTCTGGACCCTGGAGATTGATGTGTGTGTATCTGTGCAAGTTTAGGTCGGTGGCGGTCGGGCAAGGGCTGGCGTCGTGTGTGCATCCGTCCGTTTTAGTTTTTTTTAGGGAAACCCGTCCGTTTTAGGTGAGGCAGCCCATCAGGTAGATCATCGTGGGGGGAAGGTCTCATGTCGTGCGTGCGAGTTAGATTGTTGGGGAGGTCTACTCATGCGTGTTGGGGAGGTCTACTCATGCGTGTTGGGGAGGTCTACTCATGCGTGCGCCCATTTCAGGAGTTGAGACAGCCCATTAGCCTGATAAAAATTCCACGCCCCGGGCCTGGCCCTGGGTGTCCGGGCCCAGCTTTGCCCTTGCTTGGATGCCTGAACTGTTACTAAAAAAAAGCAATTCCTGAACTTAGTCGAGTGATGCATGATGTTCCATAAGTTCTCGAATGACTTGCGTTTATTGCACATGCTTAATTATTCTACCTAATCTTTTTTTCATTTAGAGGAGTCGATAGTCATCTTGTGATGGTTGGTTTCACACCGTCTACACACCCGTGCCTCGCGTAACACGCGCCGTGACTCTACAAGCTCCTCACGGTGATAGCCCGTGCCTCTTTGTTGTTGCACAAACATTCCTCTCTCTACAACCCATGTCAGAGGAAACATAGAAAAAACAAAGACACACATGTGCCTCTAATTTATGTACAACTATGCCTCCAATGAACTAACATCTGTCCAAAAAACATCTAAAAAAGAGATGCACAGCCATGCCTCTTCTACAAGCGAAGTACAACAAATGAATAGTTAGGTTCATATTCGTTTTATATATCTAAATAACATTATAATGTAGCATAGATTTTTAAACAATATCCATTCATTTTGTTCAAAGGCTATAACTAACATCACTGCGGCAGAAGATTGAAGATAACAACAAGCCTCCCATCGTGCTCATTGAAAGTTATGAGCACCAAGCTGTTTACTTCAATAGATGATGCCGGCAGAAAATCACTGAACCCTTCCTTTTTGAACACCATTCTATTACCCAAGCCAATGAAGCAGGAGCAAGGGATCACGAGATTCCAAAGTAGCTTCAAGATCTAAAACTCCAGTCCTGGGAAATGACACGAACTCCTTCAAACTCCTCACAACCATACCAGGAATAACCTAACAAAAACATCCAGCTATTAGTAATAGAACAAAAATTAAAAACTAAATAGAAGAAATAATAATAAATAAATAAATAAACAGAAACAAAGAAAAACAGTGGAAAATAAATCTGACCATTTTATGAGCATTAACATTCATGGAATTAGTCCTGTGAACAAAAGGACAATAGAGTATGTACTCATCATCAAAGAGTTGATGCGTCATGAAATACATCTGCTGATAATTGAGATAAACATCACGAGTGTAAAAACAACTCCCAACAAGTTTCTTCTCGGAGTCGCTCAATGCATCAAGAGCTAGAAAATAAAATTACACAGGTTCAACGGAACAGAAAAAACATATGAAATGAAACAAACTAAATGCTTCCTTAAAATAAACCTTACCAACAGAAGGTAAAGGAGACAACATATTTTCACCCCTATAAAAGTCAACACCAACCAACGTTCCATAGCGCTCAAGCCTAACAGTCATTCTATCAAGATGATGAAGACCATAATCAATGACCAAATCGTCCGAAAAAGAACCATGGAATTTGCTCCTCACCCGACCATGACTAAACAGAATACCATACAAATAATCCTCACTAGAGTGAAGAGCAAGATCAGTATCTTTGTCACCCCTCCTTATGGCTAAAGCCTTACACTCCTCGATGTAGAGCAAGATGAGCTCTAACATTGCACAGAATATACTTCAAAACGAATGACCATAATTAAAAAAAAGATCTAGAATAATTTCCATTCAAAACAACAACATGAGCACCAAAAGAAATAAGCATGTGTGCCAAAAATTGATCAAATATAAAATGTTATTCTTACAACATGAGTCGAACAACGCCGATCTAGAACCACAGTAAACACATCTATAGAAGAATTAACAGACGTACAAGGGCCACCTGGCATACGGCTAAAAAAACAAGCCATACATGCAAAAACACAATGATTATCAAGAATTAATTGCACAAACCGAGTTGAAAGTTGACATATGATAGTATCGGAAGCCCCCAACCATAACTACCCTATAAATCTCCATATCCCAAAAATACAATAGGAACTAATAGGAAAAAAAAGGAAACAGAGAACCGACGAATGCAACCGGTAGGGAACGACGATCGTGCGAACGGGGAAGCGCCGTCCACGGTAAAGAAGGGCCGCCGTAAGCAGGCCACAAGAGCGGCGGGCGCGACGGGCGGGGACGACGGCAACGAAAGGACAGTCGGCGACGACGGTTTAACGACATCAGAGAGAAACATATCTCAAAACAGATCGAAAGTGTACTACAAAACACTAAAAGTATAAGGATTAAAGTAAAAAAGGAAAAATCAGAAAGGAAAACCGAAAACCAAAAATCATGGGAATGCCCCGCGCGTGACACTTATCGAGCCCGGAGCGCTTCCCGACTAATTGTTGTTGGGAGCGCTCCTCAACTAATGATTTCGGCAAGCAGGGGCAGACTGTGTATGAGGCGAAGCCCAACAACAGGCATCAGCCCATCTACATGACTGCCCGACCATGGGTTTTCGCCCCGTCTGGCCTCAAATTCAGATCGATCGATTGATCTTACCTGGGTGCGGATAACTGCCTCCAATCTAATCCCCTTCGTAAGCCGCCGCCGCTCTTGGATGTACATGCAGCCGAGTAGCGACGAATACGGCGGCCGCTGCTGGCCGTGGCAGCACGTTTGTACCGCCGGCACCAGATTATTCTGTCAGCACACACGGTAAACCTCATATACCTTCTGCTATTCTAGCCTAATTTTGTCTTTTCTTCAAGTTTAGCTATATGTCATTGGGCACAAACGAAGAGAAAGAGCATAACAGGTTGTTAGATTGTTATTTATGCCTATTCTTTTGATCTCAAACCACTACCGGAAATTGTTCAGACGCAATCATTGGTAACAGCAGATCTGTATTTAACTTATAAAATGGTAGCTTTCTTTTGTCTTTTTTCGGCATGATTGCCTTTTTAACTCTTTACCTCCGGACGTGTAATATATCTTGAATCCTTTTTGACTAAACATTTTTTAAACCAGATATACTTCCTCTGACCTGGCATTTATTTTTATTTTTTGAGAATTGGCCAACTTCATTAAACTTAATCACCAACCAGATTACAATCAAGTTCCAGGACGCTAGGGGGGATCATCAGGAACAGTACCAAATGTAATGAAACCACCCGTTCGCCTAGCATAGGCTGCTAGTTCAT